GAACAAAATCCGGGGGGTGAGTGAGCAATGGAATTAGTCCTACTAGAGGATCAGGTGGTAGTTCATGAACGACACAATACTCAGGCGGAGTAGCCACGAGTATGCTGCAAACTTTCTTTGTGACTGGTTTGTATACCAGCGCATGGATAACAGGATCATATTCATAACATGCATTGAACACGGCTATGTTCGCGACATGGAATGCCATGCTGGAGGAGGTTAGATGTGCGTATAGCACAGACTGCGGAAGAGAGAAACGAGAGTGCGAAAAGAAGATGGGAACGAGAGATGATGACAAAATTAATGAATGTGATGTAGCAATTTTGCTCCTTAGTGAACAAGAGTGGTTATCATCATGTGATGCGAGTGAAGAAACATTAGTGATATATGAAGAAGAAAACGAGTGTGATGGCCGAAGTGAGGAGCACAAACACTCCATAGTGTCTCCTGCATATGCTGCGGATCATTGATACTTAAAAATCCTGACGCTCAACCTCGGCAACATTGATGTGCAAGGCGCGCTGTGTACCGCGACTTGGCAGTTTCTGACCCAAGGGAGGGTTGGGATGCACATTTCTTTGTGCATGTTAGGATCCATTAATAAAATGTCCTGCACTCCGCTAGGGAGGTCAAACGTGTGACAAGAAGTGAGAGTGAAAAATGGGCGGCCAAGCAGAACTTCAAAGTTCGCGTGCTCCGTTACCTGAACCTGGAAGTACATAGGACCTCCTCTGAAATCGAGTGGGATATTTTCGATGACGCTGAGCGTTGAATCGCGCGAAGTGTTAACCGACTCCATGTGCATGCGGTGATCTGACCACAGACCAACTCCAACTGATTGCCATACTTCCCTTGGCATTACAATGACTTCCATGCCCTGATCTAGGACACAGGTAAGTGTCCTGCCATCTACAGTTGTTGCACGAATACACCCCAGCGACACGAAGTGGTCTGCTACGATGTGTCCATTGTCGCTACGCGAACGCACATCTTCATACTTGTGCATCCAATGATGCGAGATGGGGTGACTTGACAGTTCATTGACTGAGACTGTTGTGACAGTGACCTGGCGATTGGTTGACATGTCATGGAGGTTTTTCCAGATGTTGGACAAAATGGCTAAAACATTGCACACAGGAATGCTGATGGTGACATCTAGGATCTGGTCAGTAATGCGCTTTTCGGCACCTTTGTCCTCAAGCAGACAGGTTAAACAATAAGTGCCTGAAGGCGCAGGTGCTACTGCTGGGGGGGGGGGGGGGGGGGCAAAACGTTAGTGGTCTTTTTCGTGGAAGATGAAGATGATGTTTGCGCGCTTGTGATCGGCACGGGCAGGTACTACTATAGGTATTTTGGCTACCTCTTTGCCTTTACTGGACGCTGCTTGAATAGCCAGGGAGATGATTTCCTCCTTAACTGTTGGCTGGCGCAATGCCGGACCTGGTCACGATCACGTCTTGCTAGGGATAGCAATGCCAGTCGAAGTGGACATTTTTCTCCTTCACCTTAGCTTTCGCTCCATGTTTCTGCTCTACCTTTGCCTTTGTGTATGCTAGGGCTTGGGTTGCGCGCTCGAGTTTGCGCTCATTCTCATCTTTATCGGACTTGGACTCAATGATTGTATGTATGAACACAGATGGATCAACATCCAAAATGCATTCTACCTCAGCTGGTGTGCGGTACCATAAACCTACATGAGCGCTGCTAGCGTCCATGCTCATCTCGCTTTCAATCATATGATCTATGTGATCCTTCGACAATTGTTCGCATCCGACGATGTGATTGCTGTTAGGCATGATGAGCTTATAGTTCTCATCCAACTTACACTTCCCTGCATTGAGGTATTTTTCGCGTTCTGGACAATGCACGATGAAATGGTCAAGATTGTCACAGAACATGCAACCATCTGTACACTTGAGTAGTGTGAGGATGCTGATATTCATGCTTGGTCACTGAACCTTGCATGGGCTGTTGCGCTGGCATCGACTGTGACCGCAGGGAGTAAACTCGCTAATTATCGCCACATTGTAGACATTCTTCCATGGGTAAGGGTCCTCATGGTGATGGTCTGGGAACTTAATTAGTAGGTGAGTGCGCGTGAGCATCTGGACATTGCTAGGCAGTCCTTCTAAGAATATGTGGTCATGTTCCACCAAGCCTACTCTATCCTTGTCTAAGAGCGGCTGCATTATCTTGTGGAAATCGCGATAGTACAAGCTCAACTCATCGATGGATGGCATTGGCATCGCAGTGTACTTTCATGCGACTGCACTCAAGTCATTGACGGTGTAGAGCCTCACATCTCCACAGGCACTTTCCTCCAAATTCTCCCACTTTCCCTACAAACTCCAGCTCTAATCCACAGGATTCATCTAGCACATCAGTGCACTTATATTTTATTTCGCAGCTTTTGCGCACAACCTCACAGGTTCACGTGCTTCGCACATCCGCACTCGCATTGTCCGCGCACTCATCCATCTGTCCATCCCATGTCCTTAAATGTTCATTGGTGTGTTTTCCCATCATATTCCCTTTTTGATTAATTGGTTTCCATCGCTAATACTCGGCTCTGTGCTTCGTGCGTAACCGAGACCCTGTTACATACCTTGTGGACTATTTTTAGTCTGTTCAGTTCGTTACATCGGACCTGTGTGCCTAGCGCCGCTTAGCTACTTTACTTATACCCTCCTATTACTTATGTTCTGGGTTGATTTTCTGCCCACTTCCTCTGTGTCTCTAGATACTAGGAATTTCACTTGTTGTTTGCAAGTGACTATCTAAAGTTGCGCGCTTCAGTTCTCCGTCTTAGTCTTAGCATCAGCCAACCTTAGTTGGGGTGTTAACACTCGTCTTGCATCGGCTTCCCTTTGTTTTTCTCGCTCACTAGTCTCTTGCCTTCGCTCGCGCGTGCTACCTTCATGTCGCGCACCTCATCCTTCACCTTTCACACTCACACGTCATCGTGCGCATTCGCCTTTTGCACATTGGATTGTTCCCACCTTGTGCTTCGTGCGTTACTTAGCCTTAGTACTTTATTAGTTGTTTGGTGTCCCTCTTTTTACAAAGAGAGGTTTCCCTTTACTCAGTTAGCTGCCCTTGGGACAACAATTTCACTTGCACCCGGGACTATCTGTGTTTGCTTAGATTAGCACCAACTTTCCCCACAGTTTAGATTCCTCATCTTCAACGGTGTAGTGACGATCGCCTTCACAGCCAGGGTACATTACCTTTACTTTGCATATAAATGTGTCATAGTCGCTGACCTTTGCTTCGGGCAGACATGCCCAAAGTTCTTTGTTGGCAGGCGTGAGGTACTGAATGATCTGCTTGATGCGATCAAGACCGGTGAGACTGGCCTGATCAGCATGTTCTTCATATGCATCTATAAAATCTAGGAGGTTAGTGGTGGTGCTGTTGAATTTCAGCACACAGTCAGTGCCGCGAATAGGCATGTGATAAGGCATAGTCATTGTGACTGGCAGGGCGATGGGGGCAATTGTGGGTGCGGGTACTGGGGCAGGTGCGATATATGCGGGTTGCAGTGCGTAAGCACTTGAGAGAGTGCCAATTACATGTCTGTTAAGTATTGAGGCGGGCGGGTTGAGGACTTGAACTGTTTCAGGCTTGACAGGCGAATCTGACTCTTCTTCTTCTTCGCACGGTGGTGCGAGCATATCTATAGGTGTTAGTGCGGTGAATCTCGCTTTTTGCTCCGCTTTAGGCGTGCTGTGAAATGTTCCAGGGATGTTACCTCTAGGTGCATCTATGGATGTGAAGTCGTCAAGTGATTCTTCCTTGATTGATTCTTTGGGCGAAGATGTGATAGGTGATGGTTGTCATTCGTTTGTGCCGCTGAAAAATGAAAGTCTCGGACACGGCACGTTGACAGTGGATTCTTCTGTGGGTGGTATGGTAGCGAACAGGGAACCTTCCGGTAGTTCTTCTATGGCTTTGTCAATGCATGTGATAATATCCGCGCGAAATAACCGGTGCATGTTGGGTCTGAGTACTCTATCAGATGTCACAGTAGTGCCCCTCGCAGTGGGCTCCAGTTGAAGATGAGGAATCTAAACTGTGGGGAAAGTTGGTGCTAATCTAAGCAAACACAGATAGTCCCAGGCGCGAGTGAAATTGTTGTCCCAAGGGCAGCTAACTGAGTAAAGGGAAACCTCTCTTTGTAAAAAGAGGGACACCAAACAACTAATAAAGTACTAAGGCTAAGTAACGCACGGAAGGCACAAGGTGGGAACAATCCAATGTGCAAAAGGCAAATGCGCACGATGACGTGTGAGTGCGAAAGGTGAAGGATGAGGTGTAGCGACATGAAGGTAGCACGCTGCGAGCGAAGGCAAGAGACTAGTGAGCGAGAGAAATCAAGGAAAGACAAAGAAAGACTAGTGTTAACACCCCAACTAAGGTTGGCTGATGCTAAGACGAAGATGGAGAACCAAAGCATGCGACTTTAGATAGTCACTTGCAAACAACAAGTAAAATTCCTAGTATCTAGAGACACAGAGAAAGTGGGTGGAAAATCGACCCTGAAAATAGAGTAAAGGGATAGTATATGTAAAGGTAGCTAAGCACCACTAGGTGCGCAGGTCAGATGTAGCAAGCTGAGTAAGCTAAATATAGTATGCAAGATAGGTAATAGGGTCTCGGCTGCGCACATAGCGCAATGAACATCTAAGGACATGGGGAGGACGGATGGACAGGTATGCGGATGATGCTAACGTGGATGCGCAGTGCGAGTGGCTGTGCGCAGAATCTGCAAAGTAAAATATATGAAGCGCTACTGCGCAAGACGTATCCTTTGGATTAGAGCTGGGAGAGGGATTGAATCTGAGGTGAGGACGGCATGAAACGAGATAACAGTGTTTGAATTCACTACAGTACCACAAGGAGGTGTGCCCAATAATAATAATGATCATAATAGGGATGGGCAACACCTCCAAACAAAGTGTGTCATTATGTAAGCATGGTACTACACCATGGCAAATATCTAGTGTAGGGGCCAGAAGTATTTTGGGGTGAGTTCTGCCAAAAAAACGGCAGAACGGCAATTGGCAGAATGGCAAAAGTCGGCAGAATTGTTTTGAGGGTTTCTGCGTGTTCTAGTAAGATAACAGCAAAAAAATTATCTAAGCTATTGCATGGATGCTACACCCCTGATGTCAACAGTGCATTGATGTTCCAGCCTGCCTCTGTGCCTTGTGACCCATGGCCAACCACATCAATCTCTTCGACAAACCCTGCAGGTGTAATTCCTTTATTGACTTTCTCCAGCTCATCCCAATCAATAATATCTCCCCCCAAAATATCTGGGACTTCGCCAGTACCTTCTTGCAAGCCTCGTGACTCCAGCATCTCATTTTCAAATCTGTCAAATTCTTCGAGCAGCTCCTCATCTGTGATTGACTCGGGACCTGCAAGAAATTCGTTGTCTGAGTTGCGAGAGGCACCAGCGAGTGGTGGCACCCATGCAAACGACCTTTGAAGTTTGTCTGCCAAGGCTGTGTCAAGTCCATGCTCTGGCCGAGTGTGCATATGGGCGTGTTTGCGATGTGCTGGCTTGCCAGCTTTGTGATCCACCTTGTGCAAGAAATTTGTGTAGCTTGCCCGGAGTTTGCTCAGAGACTTGAAAGTCTGAACTGATAGGTTGCAGCGCTTCACAGATTGTACCCCACCCAGACCTGAGAAATAATGCTCGACATCAGCAGCATGAGGTACGATTGAGTGGATTATGATCACAAATGCCTTCAATGGACAGTGCTCGGCACTGACGGGGAGGGTTTCACACCAATCGAGTGCGTCGGCCTGCCCTCCCGAAAATACTCCAGAGCATTTGTGATAATCCTTTAAGTCAGCAACGAGCATTTTTGCAAGCTGTTTGCTCCATCGCCACTGTTTAGCAATGTCGAGAGCTACCTCCACCATAAATTTGAATGAACGTCCGTTTATGGCTTGCGAAATTGCGAGTTTTTGGCACATTGGGTGTAAAAATAGCGTGAGACTGTGAGTTTTTGTGTTCATTGCAAAAAAAACGCTAGTTGAAGACAGCCTTTGCATGTTGCCAGAAGTGAACATTATCTCCTTCTTTGATTGGCAACTGAGAGATTGTCTTCGCAAGCCAAATTAGCCCAAGCATGCAGGAAGCGAGTGATGAATTGTGGGACTTCTCATCTCCAATAAGGTCAACAATTGGCTTCATAACCTTGATCCCTTGTTCAATGGCAGGCCAAAACTCTGCATTGCGGAGGACAATGGTGACAATATCTGGGGCAACAGGTGAGAGGCCTCCGATCTTCTTCTGTGCATCTTCCCACAGACATAAATGGGAAAGTGATTGTCTATAGTTCATTTAATTCTTTTCTCTAACTGATAGTAGTCATATTTTTTCGCACCTATGATCACAGACACTCATTGACTGGAGAACAAGTGCATACCAATGAGACTTGCAGTTTTTCTTCAATCCACGGTTGATGCCATCCTTTTTCGCCTGTTCTTTCAACTGACCACCCCAGTAGTGGGACCCATTGAAGAATGTCACTACCTGAGTAGCTTTTGTCACATGCCGCTTCATAAATGGGTGTGCACATCATCACAGTGGGATTGTCAGTTGTTGCCGCGATTATGTTACATCCATCTCCGATCTCCATTCTTTCCAAAGCTTTCACTGAGACATCAAGGAGTTTGTCTGCAGAACCTCGGTGCCCCGTCATATCCTCAAGGTTCAACACAACTGGAGGCTGATTAACTTCAGCAGCCAACGACCCATACAAGCTTTGTCTTATTTTATCCTCCCACCCATCAAGCAAATATGTAAGCTTTTTACGTTCCTTGAGATGTGCAATGTCCTTGATTTGGACGCGCGCAACTTCGCTATCCATAATTGAATGTGACAGCACATAAAGTGATGGTGCTTGATACAAGGGCCAAATTTCATCAAGGAAGTTAAGGAAAAACCAGTTCTCCGCAACCAAGAAAGGTATATTAGCATGAACAATGAATCTGTGGGTTTAATATTCACGCAGTCAGTACACAATTAATGATTTGTGACACTTGAACTCACCGAAACAATTTGAAATTTGCATGTGTTGCTTGCTCTGGAGTGACTGGAAGATCCACAAATCCGAAGAGGTTCTTCTGTTTCTGTGGAGCTTTAGCTGTGTCTCCTGAAGTTGATTGGAATGAAGAAGAATCTGTATCCACGATAGGTGGGAGTAGTAGTGCTTGATTTCCATTTTTTATAGCAAGATAGTTGCGGACTTCTGTGCGAGCATGATCTGGAGCCATAGGGCAAATATTCATGGTCAAGAATATGCTTGAGATGTTTGTCAGTCGCGACCTTCTATAGACGTCAAACAGTAGTTGCATTTGTAAAAATAACGGTTGGATGAATTTTGGACTTTTTGATCCTGGATAAAGTGGTTGGTGATGATTTTTCGAGTAGGGCGGCCCGTAGACTTTTTCGAGGACATATTGGCATGCACAGAGGCTCAGATACACTTATTCGAAGTCAAACATATTCTATTTGATGATAGTACAAATAAGATTCACATTGACTTCTGCCGACTTCTGCCCAATGCCCTCGACCTACTGCTGGCAATTGCCATTGGCAGAATGGCAGACTTCTGCCAACAACACTACAAATATCGACACCTTCCACGTGTCAAGGACTGAGTGCAGGGTGGTGACGAGGTGTGTTTAAATAATACAATTAGCATTATAAATGAGAATTATAAAGTTTTTAGAGCAAAAATATTGAAACTCGGGCCTGGGCTAGTGCTGCCACGGTCCGGTCCAGAACTATGCACTTTTTGGTGAGATGTTTACCAAATAGGGGTGGACAGGTCCAGCTCTGAACCACGGTTCGAACCTGAACCTTTTCAAACCTGACCAAAGTCCGGTTCAAGGTTCGGGCAATAGGGAGAACCGAACCATTGGTCCAGTCCATGGTTTGAGGACTTACAGAATTTCAGAACCGGTTCTGAACAGGTTTGAACCTGTTTGAACCTGTGGCAAGTTAGTATATAGTTTGAGTTGTATGAGTGGCTGAAAACAGACAAACAGCAACACCCTGTAAAGTTGATGGGATATCAACTGTCATTTGAGAGCTCAGTGACGCAAAAGTGGGCCCGAGGCCAGCAATGAACGTGACATAGAGTTGCCCAGGTGTCGTTGCGGAGAATCCTTTTACAGGCAGTAGCATGTTATGCCAACTGCAGCTTGGTCATAATGGGCATGTTGAGTCCATCAGAAGGAGACTTGTCCCTTGCACAGGGCAAGCAAATCGGACTGCAAAGCACGCTCAAATTCAGTGCTGCAGTTATCAACTTCATCAGATCATCTCTATAAAGTAATCAGCAAACGCACCTCCTTCAACTGGAGCTCTTTCCTAGCAGCAATATAGACCTTTGCACCATTCTGTATGAGTGCTGAGGCAATAGCCTTGCCAATGTGCCTATCATGGTGACGATGTGACAAGGGGAGAGAAACGGTGTTTGTTTGGTCCGGTTCTCGGTTCGAACCCTCACTGAACCAGAACCAGACCATTATTGGACCGAACTGATGGTCCGGTCCATGGTTCTGCTTACTGAGAGAACCAAACCATAGGTTCGGTTCTCGGTTCTCTTAATTTCCCAGAGAACTGGACTGAACTGGACCTGTCCATCACTATTACCAAAGAAATAGAATGTGTATTCAAGCCAAAATTGGTTCCAGCATCCGGCACAATGTTCTCCGCCTTCGATCTTGCTCCCAACATGTGCGTTTAGGTTTCTCAAACTCATCAACATCTCGAATATACTTTCAGGAACATGGTATGTCTCTGTTCTCTCTGCAATATCAGGCATCTAATCATCCAAAATGACTGAACTAGCCACAAAAAGACCAGCAATATAATATTAGGTGAGATACTCATCTTCCCCTTGTTGAACTGACGCTATGCCGCCCACTATTCTCTCAGATGATGAGGGCAAAACTTGTGTTGCTGTACGTCCAGTCCGCAAAACCAAACCTACTGCAGCACTCCTTCATTCAGCGGAACTGGCAACACTTTCCTTCCAGAGAAAGGCTGTCCACAACTTTCATATTGCTGAAGCTGCGTGATGCATCAAACAAGCAGAAGGTACTGAACTGTCATCTGTGGCAGGCCCTTCACAGCAACCAACTTCCACCACATCTAAGACTGCCGCTGCACCACCAACTTTGCATGTCCCCAACCAGATGAAAAGAGTTCATGTTGACTTAGAGGAGATTTTTGAGGACGATGAGGACAACAATGATGTAGAGATGCAGGAAAGTGCATATTTTAATCCGAAGCGTGAGTGCTACAACCTACTTCTAACTGAACATTCTTATTAATTTAAAGCATCAGCAAAAAAGAAATGTATTGAGGAAGTGGACGTTGACAAAGACGTTGACAAAGATGGTATCCCCATTGATGTTGACGTCCAATCAATTGTTGATGCATCATCGACATGTGAAGGTAGAATGGCTGATATTGAACAGTTTTTTGGACCAGCATTCGAGCAGACAGGAGAAAATGGGAAGGTCAAGAAGCATTGGAAATGCAAGAGCTGCGCGTAAGATTTCAGCCGTCAATGTTGCTGACATACTCACCCATATTTCATAGGAAAGGCTGTGTTCTTGTAAATGAAACTACAACTCTTCATCAGCACACAGAAGCAAACTTTGTGGTATGTACTCATTGATCACACTGAATATAAACTAACAAATACTCTTACAATAGGGAAAATATCAAACCTGGGCCAAAACCAACAAATTCAATTCAATGTTGCCCGGCGATGTCAAGGATTGCAAGGCCAAGCCCTGCCTGCTCAGCAGGCCATCACTTTGCATCTTACTGAACCTAAGCTTGCAGAGTGTGTGGTTCCATACTCCGACAAGCTGTTCAAGACTGCAGCTGTTGAATGGCTCATAGCGACAGACCAGGTGTGTCTATTGCTCGATCAGAGTCTATCACTAATATTTGCTGTGTTGAGTCCATCCAAGCCCTCGAACATCCAAAATTTAAAGAGATGATTGATGTGGCTGCTCGTGCTACCAATGGCATAAAAATTCCTGGAAGGAAGGCAATGCAGGCGCAGATTATGCACATGTTCAAAAATCACTTAATGAAGCTCAAGGCAACTTTGAATGTGCATCTTGCTTTCTGTCTTCATCTGATATATATTTGAATGGGACTTAGAGTGACGCTGTTTACAGGGCCATCAACATTACCTGTGATGCATGGCAAGCTGGTAATACTAATGGTTATTTTGCCATGACAGGTCATTGGATCCAGGAAGACAATCCCTCAACATGGAAATGTGAGAGTGGGCTCCTCAGATTCATTAAACTGAATAATGCGCACAATGGAAAATGTCTTGGTGGTGCATTGTTTAAGGTGTTGAACCATGTTGGCATCATGCACAAGGTATCTTGACTTGGATTCCAAATGCTTCACTTCATACTCATATATTCCATAGCTCGGCTATGTCACATGTGATAATGCTGCCAATAATAGCACAATGCTTGATGAGTTTGCATGGCTTTATCATCAGCGGCACCAAAAGAAGTTCCCATGGTGTGAACAAAGGATAAAGTAAGTTCATTTACAACATATACTTTGTACTATCTAACAGTATCACGGTAGTTGTCTGGCACATGTTGTCAATCTGGGAATACAGACTTTAATTGCTACATACAGTAAATCTCCACACTACTCACCACATGATCCCAAGGCACACAAACCAGACACTTTGAATAAAGGCGAGCACAATGAGATAGGACTAGTCCATAGCATTTGTATCAAGGTAAGTCTAGCTGATGTCTTTGGTGCACTGAATTAACTAACACTAACTATTTTTAAAGGAACACTCATCAGAAAAACGGAAGGAGCTATACAAACGTGTTCAAGAAAAGACCAATGTATCCCCAACCCAGCTTCTACTCGATATGAAGGTTCGCTGGTCATCGACCTATGTTATGCTCAATTGTGCCAAGAGTAGCGAAGTGCATGTTGATCTTTTTGTATACAAGATGGGGTTACAGGAGCGGGATCTTATGAGGTGTGCTAAGATTGATTATTTAAGACTTACAAGTACAGAGTGGCTTCATGTCAGCCAATTTGCCGACTTACTTTCAGTGCGTGTATGATTTATTTCATCCATTTTTGCCTAAGAGTTTCTGGCAAGTACACAAGCATTGCCCAACAGGCATTCTCATTGGATGCAGGAACTACACTACACCTAGTGGTTCCTGCACTCGAGACACTCTACAAAGCATGGTCCTCTCATGCAAGACAGCTTAAGTATGTTCATTTTGAACTTGCACTGGATGCTGCTGCCGACAAGATTGATGAGTATTATGAGAAGACAATGAAGACTCCTGCATATATTATGGCTATGAGTTCATCCATCTATTTATCGCATTCACTGTGAATCGTGATTGCTAACTTTGACATACAAGTACTCAATCCAATAGGCAAAATGGCTCACTTCAAGAAAAACTGGCCTAAAGATCTTCAGGAAGATGTCCTTGCCTGTGTGGAACGAGTGGTAGGTCAAATGATGCTTCATATATCTTTTCATATCTGACAGATTTAAAAGTTCGAAGCTCACTACCTTGAAATGGGTACAACTGCATCAGCGCAAGACACTCACGTCAAACAAGGAAAAGCAAGTCGTCTCAAGAAACTCATTCGCGAAATGCAAAGCTCGGATGAAGACGAAGACGTTCCAACAATAGTGCCATCAACTTGGGCTAAACCATGGCAGGCCGATTTCATGAACTATATCAACACATTTGAGGCACCACCTTTGCCTGGCATGAGCACGATTCAATGGTGGGGTGTACGTTCATTTTTTTTACTATTTGTTTCATATTCCTCACCTTTGAACAAGATTAACGGTCAAAGATATGGGCCAGTATGGTCCTCGATTGCACGTGACTATCTATCTATTATGAATCGTCTGTTTTCAGTGAGCGTGCATTTTCTCAAGGTGAAATAACTATTAGCAAATAACACAACTGGCTCAAAGGGGATGTCGTCGAGGCCCTTCAATGTGTCAAATGTGCTATCTGTCATGATCTTCTGTTTCGTGAACCAGGGCTGTCGTCTGTTGTGGAGGAGGAACTTCAAGTTGATGAGTTCGAAATTGAGGGTGGATTGGGGGAGAAGAGTGAAGACACGGAGAAGGCTGAAGAAGAGGGTTGGGATGGTCTATTGCTTGATGATGATGGTGACTCGGATTCGGAATCCAATAGTATTGACATTGAAACCTAGTACATATGTGTGTAGTATATTTCTTGCACCAATATTTCACATTTCATGTGCTCAGGCCATGGCTCGAGCCAAAGCCAGCCGTCAATCATAGCTTTGGCCTGGCCTGAATATTCTATGGGCCAAAGCCATGGCTTTCGAGCCAAGCCAGGCCAGAACAACACTAGGCAGAAGTATCCATACACCCTTGGATATTGTAGAAGGCTATGTATTCATACTCACCAGCTATTCTCAAGGCTTCTTTGTATTCATACAGCCCTTGGGAGCCATAGTGTGCCTTGACACTGTTCTTTTGGGCATATCTTTGACCAAATTATTGTGCCTGCCCTAAATACACCAAACACCAAACACTCTAGGAGGCAAAAATAGATAGTAAAAATAGATGGTAAAAATATCTCAAATCAGTGCAAAGTTAGAACCACCACATACACCCGCATGCAACATATCCCAAATAAGCATAAACATCCAGGAGAGACAGTAAAAATAGATGGTAAAAATATCATAGCGGGCGTGGTCATGTGGTCAATGCAGTACTTGTATAGCTTGACGATGGACAACATATTTCACCTAGTAGTAGTCTACTGACTAGGGACACATAGTGGGGTGAAAAGCAGGAAAATGACAAAAATGTGCCAAAAAAACATACAGCCCTTCTATTTAATGCTACATGGTGGTTGTGGCGGGTAAGGGTGCTTGTTCTGCAGTCGTCTGAACAGAGAGAAGGCTGGGAACTATGTCCTACAAGAAAAGACAATTGTCCTACATGGACTGGCGAATTGCAGCCTGTCGCAATGCATATCCCACTGCTCCTTCATGCTGCATTGTTCCGTCATCTAACCTGGAAGTTGCCTGTTCCTCCCAACAACCTGCATGCCACTCAAACAACGCTATTATACATCGCATCTCCTCCTGCACAAGTTCAACCTCCTCCACCCACCTGTTTGCATGAGCTTGTGCTTTGCACCACTCGAATGCGCATTGCTATTTCTGGTTAGAAAAACTACATTAAATAATTAGCAACTCTCACCTTCAGAAAGTTCTTCTTCACCTGCTCCATGGCACTGTTTCCAGATCCAAGATACAGCCATGAGCCTTCAACCTTCTGACACCAAGCCTCCTGCCTGCACCTCCAGTCATACCACAAATGTCCTCATCCTCGAGCTTTGGGAACTCGACTTTCCAATCAAGTCGTAGGAGTGCATCTGCCAAGGCATCTAGTGCCCTCCACACTGTGCAATACTTTGTTGTAGCAGCGGCGATTTTCACCTCCACAGTATCAATAACAGCGTGGGATCTCATGTGTGCTTGCTGATTCAGTTACCCAGTTCTTCTTGAACCCAGTAAGATGACACTTTGGTTGTAGGTGTTGCCGCAGTCTCTGGAGAGTGTCATGTGCCTGGGCATGGCATAACTTCCACTTGATATTACACAGGTTCACATCGCAAGACATACCCGCCTTCACAACTGCAGACAGCATCCATAGTTTGATGGCAGTGAGTAGGCTCCTCAAGGGTAGTAGTATCTGCAGCATCAAAGATGTCGGCTTGAAGTCTGGCAATGCTGGGAATATATAGCATTTGGATTTGGATCCACTGCTTGATACAACGGTGCAGTGCATTGGTACGTTGTTGCATAGTAGACAATTGGTTATCAGTGGCGTGGATTCCAATGTTCAAAGCATCTGTTGCAAGTCAACATCTGAGGTAAAATGATTTGTTAAGCCCAGCTTGTCAGTGTAAAACTCAGACATACTGTAAAGCCTCTAGGTCAATCCCAGCAGTGATTAATATGCCAGGGGAGACATCTGTGTGGAGGGAGGTGCCGATTCCTCGTCTTAGTTGGTGGGCTTCAAGCTGAGAAAGCTCTAGTCTAACAGATGCCTGGGTGATAACTGTAGTGCACAAGTTAAAGAATGCAAATATCATACAAGCAAAAATATACCTGATGCTTTAATCTCGAAAGGGTTTGGCTTTGAACAATCAGCCTCCCAGTCTTCTACTAATTTCCGCCAAGCACTAAGACTCGAAGATGAAATAGCTTCCTTGAAGTCTCGAAGATCTATGGCATGCTGATAATGTTCTGGAATTGCCTCCTTGAGTTTTTTGAGGAGCAAAGGACCTAATAAACTATCAGAGGCAAGGGTACAATCTAAGTGTAGTCCATACCAAAGTTGGACACTTTACAGTCAATTCCAATCGCCAAAATGGTCATCCAAGATGTTGCGTCTTAACCCTGGGCCCATTTCCCATGTGCTTGTAGCAGCAGGATTCATGTTGGACCATCCACATTTGATGGCTTCACCATCAGTCCTCGCCATGCCTTTGATGAGGTTGAGAGAATATGAAGTTTGACATGCTGCAATGTGCGCCGGTAGATGAAATTTGGGAATGACAAACTGGTAAAATTTTCGAGTCGGTTGCAAAATGAATCTGGGAGGGATAGTGTGACATCTGCTGACACAAGTGTTTACTCCATTGACAGGCAATATTATATGAGACATTGAGAGCCAGAACCTTGTTAGAATGTTGCATTGTTGAGAAGAATAGGTAATCCGTATTTGCATACCTTTCTCCTTTTTGGAGATCTCCGACTGAGGATGGATGTGTAAGGTTATGATGAGCGCAAATGATGGCGCCAACACCTGTGGCAGCAAGTCCCCGCGAATTCTTGGTGTCAGCAAGATTAACAGTGTTATGGCTGGTGCAAGAACTTTTCTAAACACAAACTCAGTGAATGTCTACTAGGGCATGATCAACCTCACCTCTTGCACCTGGCTGGCATAAGCGTCAAGCACATTTTTGAATCCATTGTGTTCTACAAAGTAAGCCCAGCCCTTGCTTAGGCTACGGTCTGCCTGCTCAGAGGACTTGTTGCGGCAGCATAAGTAAAAATTGGCATCCATTGCGAGAAATAAGGCATAAAGCCATCTACATTCCTTGAGCATAAATATATGAATCAAAACAAAACAAAAAAGCTTACTTGCATTGGTAGCAAGATAAGAAATAGAAAATGAGTGTGATGGATGAAGCGAGGAGCACAAACACTCTGTAGTGTCTCCCCACATATGCTGCAGATCATTGATACTCAAAAATCCTGACCCTCAACCTTGGTGACGTTAATGTGCGAGTGCATATGTGTCACTTCGCTGCAAGGTGCACTGTGAACTGCTACTTGACAGTTTCTTACCCAAGGGAGGGTCGGGATGCACATGTTCGGATCTGTTAATAAAATGTCCTATGCTCTGCTAGGGAGATCAAACGTGCGACAAGAAGTGAGAGTAAAAAATGGTTGGCTGAGCAGAACCTCAAAGTTTGCACACTCTGTTACCTGGACTTGGAAGTACATTGGACCTCCTCTTAAATTGAGTGGAATATTCTCTATGACACCGAGCGTCGAGTCATGTGACATAATTGACTGACTCCATGCGCATGCGGTGATCTGACCACAGACCTACACCAAGTGATTGCCAAACTTCCTTCAGCATTACAACGACTTCTGCACCCTGATCTAGGACACAGGTAAGTGTTCAGTCACCTACGGTCGTTGCACAAATACACCTCAGTGGCGTGAAGTGATCTGCAATGATGTGTCTGTTGTCGCTATGTGAACACACATTTTCATACTCACACATCCAATGATGTGAAGCGGGGTGACTGAACAGTTCATTGACAGAGACTGTCGCGACTGTGACCCTTCGATTGGTCGACGTGTCACGGAGGTTCTTCTGGACGTCGGGCAAAATGGCTAAGACATTGCGCACAGAATGCTGATTGCAACATCTAGAATCCAGTCAGTTATGCACTTTTTGGTGCCTTTGTCCTCGAGCGGACAGGTTAAATGATAAGTGCCCAAAGGCATGGGAGCTACTGCTGCTGCTGCTGGGGGCAAAACATTAGTGGTTTTTTTTGCAGATGACAATGAAGACGATGCTTCCACGCTCGTGATCAGCGTGGGCTGTATTACTATGGGTATTTTGGCTACCTCCTTGCCTTTGCTAGATGTCGCTTGAATAGCTGGGGAGATGATTCCTTCCTCAACTGTTGGCTGGCATGATGCACGGCCTGGTCACAATCGCATTTTGCTAGGAACAGAAACACCATTGAAGCGGACGTTCTTCTCCTTCGTGTTAGCTTTCACGCCACACTTCTGTTCTACCTTTGCCTTTGCATAAGCTAGGGCTTGGGTTGCGCACTTGAGTTCGCACTCGTCCTTGTCCTTCTCTGACTCAGACTCAATGATTGTGTGTATGAACGTGGAGGGATCAACATCCAACATGCACTCTACCTCAGCTGGTGTGCAGTACCATAATCCTACATGAGCACTGCTAGTAGCTGCACCTTTCTTGCTTTCAATCATATGATCTATGTGATCCTTCAATAACTGTTCGTGTCCTATGATGTGATTGCTGTTAGGCATGACAAGTTTAAAGTTCTTGTCCAACTTACACTTTCCTGCTTCAAGATATTTGTCACGTTCTCGGCAATGCATGATGAAGTGGTCAAGGTTGCCGCAGAACATGCAACTGTCTGGCACTTGGTTAGTGTGCGGGCACTGATATTCACGCTTGGTCACCAAACATTGCATGGGCTGCTGCACTGGCATTGGCATTGGCACAGGAAGTAGGCTCGCTAATGGCACTGCAACTTGCGCGTTCACGACTGGTGTGGGCGAGGTGTGTGCTGTAGCGGGCGATAAGAATATAGCTGTGTCATAGATGTTCTTCCATGGATAAGGGTCCTGCGGGTGATGGTCAGGGTGCTTAATCAGTAGACGCATACATGTTTGCATCTGGATACTGCTAGGCAATTCTTCTAGGAATATGTGGTTGCATTCAGCAGAGCCTATCCTATCCTTGTCTAGGAGTGGCTACATTATCTTGCGAAAATTGCGAGAATACAAGCTCAACTCTTTGACCAAAGGCATTGGCATAGCGGCATATTTTCGCACAACTGTGGTTAAGTCATTGACCGTGTAGCGGTGATCGCCTTCACAGACGGGATACATTACCTTAACTTCTTTTATAAACATGTCATAATCACTGACCTTCGCTTCAGGCAGACATGCCCAAATCTCTTTGTACATGGGCGTGAGATAGCAAAGTATCTGCTTGATGCGATCAAGACTAGCGAGGCCGGCCAGATCTGCATGCTCTTCATATGTGTCTATAAAATATAGAAGGTTAGCATTAGTGCCATTGAATTTCAGTGCGCAGTCAGTGCCATGAATAGGCATGCGATAAGGGATGGTGGACATTGTTACTTGTGGGGTGGCTGGTGCAATTGGGGCAATTGCGGGTGCAAGTGCTGGTGCGATATAAGAGAGCTGCAGTGCATATACACTTGAAAGGGCACCGACGAGGCATCTGTTTGTGATTGAGATGGGCAAGTTGAGAACTTGGACGGTTTCTAGCTTGATGGGTGAATCTAATTCTTCTTCTTCTTCGCGCGGCAGTGTGAGTGTATCTATAGGTGTTAGTGTGGTGTGTCTTGCTTTCTGCACTGCTTTAAGTGTGCTATGAAAGGCTCCAGGGAGGTTACCTCTAGGTGCATCTAGGGACACAAAGTCATCTAGTGATTCTTCCTTGATGGATCCTTTGGGTGAGGACATGATAGGCAATGGCTGCCACTTCTTTTTGCTGCCAAAAAACGAGTATTCCGGATGCGGCGTGTCAACAACAGATTCTTCTGGGGGAGATATGGTAGCAAAAAGTGAGCCATCAGGTAATTCTTCTATTGCTTCTCTGAAGTGCATGATAAAATCTGTGTGAAGTAAACAATGCACATTAGGTCTGAGGACCATATCAGAAGTCTCAGTAGTGCCCCTCGTGGTGGGCTCCAGTTGAAGATAAGGAATCTAAACTGTGGTGAAAGTTGGTACTAAGCTAAGCAAACACAGATAGACCTGGGCACAAGTGAAAACATTGACCTAAGGGCAGCTGTCTGGGTAAAGGGAAACCTCTCTCATAGAAAGAGGGACACCAAACTAGTAATAGGGTAATAGGACTAATAGATGCATGAAGCGCAAGGCGAGAGTGATGCAATTAACAATAGGCGGACGCGCGCAATGATGCACAAGTGCGAGATGCGAGATGCACGATGTGAAGGTAGTGCACGCGAGCAAAGGCGAAATATGAATGAGCGAGAGAGACAAAAGAGAGATGAGGCAAGACTACTGTTAACACCCCAACTAAGGTTGGCTGATGCTAAGGTGAAATGCAGACAACTAATGTGCAAGACTTAGATAGTCACTACAACAACAAGTAAAATTCCCTTGTATCTAAGGACACAGAGAAAGTGGGCAGAAAATTGACCCAGTACATAAGTAATAGAGGGGTATAAGTAAAATAACTAAGCGCCGCTAGGCATGCAGGTCCGATGTAACAAGCTGAACAGGCTATAAATAGTATGTAAAGTATGTAACAGGGTCTCAGTTACACGCAAAGCGCAGAGCCGAGTATTAGCGATGGAAAACAATTAAGAAAAATGGAAATATGATGGGAAAAATGCATCAATGGACTTCTGAGGACAGGGGATGGATGCACAGATGGGTGCATGGACAATGCGAGTGTGGATGCATGTGAAATCTGCGAAATAAAACAAGTGCGCTAATGCACTAGATGTATCCTGTGGATTAGAGCTGGAGTTTGTAGGGAAAGTGGGAGAATTCAGAGGGAAGTGTCTGTGGAGACGCAAGTCTCTACAACATGAATCATATCAGACACTTAAGGACTCTGTATTAGAGTCTCCTGCTCTTCATCACCTCAATTACGAGAGCAATCATGAAGTCATCCTCGCATTTGACACATCCAACATCATGATCAGCTTCATTCTGTTGCAAGTAGGCGCAGATGGCAAGTGATACCCTAATCGTTTCAGCAGCATAGTGCTGAACAAAGTGGAAAGCCGCTACTTGCAAGCAAAGCTAGAGCTCTATGGACTCTTTCGCATGCTTCACACAGTTCACGTATTTATTTTCAGAGTCAAGAATCTCACTGTCGAAGTCAACACAAAGTACATAAAGGTATGATCAACAATCCCGATTTGCAGCCTAATGTGACCATCAATTGATGGATCGTGGGCATTCTATTATTTTTATTCAAGCTCATTCATGTCTCTGCAACAAAGCACAAAGGTGTCGACAGTCTCTCAAGGAGACCGCTCGCTGATGAGGATCCTCTTGAGGAGGACAATGATCAAGAAGATTGGATTGACCGTGCATACTCGTTTGGAGTCGTGCTCCTCAATGATAGAACTTACCGAGTCATGGGTAGTTGCACAGAACTTGTCCACCATGTGCATCAGAATGTGCACCCTTTGCTAGACTCACATGCACCAGTACATTGTGTCTTCTTAGATGTCACGCAGGAAGAACAGGCAGACCCAATCATCCCTCGCTCAGAGGCTGTGCAAGCGCTTGATGTGTTGCTAATCTTAACCAAAGAATTTCTCATTTTGTGTGAATGACCCACTGACCTTTCAGATCACAAATTTGCAGTGTTTGTCAATTATGCTGTGTGCTTCTTTGTCCTCAAGGGCAATCTCTGGCGTAGAGAACCTCACGGAAAGCACCAGCTAGTAGTGCCACCACACAAGCAATATTGCCTTCTTAAGGAAGTGCACAATGATCTTGGCTATAAAGGCATCTACACATGCACATGTGGTTGCTACTACACTTTTTGTGGCCACACATTATCGAAGACATCAAGTGGTATGCACAAATGTCAGGTTTGCCAGATGTGAAAACTCCATATTCCACTGACAGTACCAATACCAGGAGGTTTGTTTCACAAAGCACACATTGACACTATGAAGATGCCCAGAGCAGGCGGATTCAAGTATCTTGTGCAAGCGTGCTGTGTGCTAACATTGTATCCCAAATGGTGCATGCTGTGCAAAGAAAATACCAAGTCACTAACTGCCTTTATTTTTGAAGAACTCCTTTGCAGATGGGGTCCCATCACCAAAATCATGACTGATAACTCGCCCACATACAGACTCACAGTAGATGAGCTCACGCGAAAGTACAGGATTCACCCGATTTGCATATTACTGTACAACTCCCAAGCGAACAGTATAGTTGAAAGATGACACCAATATGTCTGGGAGGCCATCATCAAAGTTGCAATGGTGATGATTCGCGATGGTACCAAGTTGTTCATTCTATTTTCTGGGCCAAGCACATAACAATTCATCACGCGATGGTTCATGGCATCAAGCCTATCTTTCCATTTGATTTAGCTGAAGCAATGTTTCTCACTCCTTTGCTGAGCTGAGGTGCATTTACCACTGCTGACCTTATAGCATTGTGCATGCACGAATTGCAGAACCATGAAGCAGATCTAGATGCAATTAAGGATCAGGTAGTCAAAGCACAATTCAAGTCGATTTGCAACTTCAAAAAATGCTCTTGTGTCTCTATCAAGTCTTATGACTTCAAACCTGGCGCACTAGTCCTCGTCTGCAATTCAAAAGTTGAGTACAAGCTCAGTAAAAAGACAAAGCTGTGCTACCTCAGACCAATGATGGTTGTGCGGCACACAAAAGGAGGTTCTTATATGCTTGCAGAATTAGATGGCACAATATCAAGGCCTCGCTTCACTGCATTTTGCATGATACCATATTATCCGTGCAGCGAAGATTGCATATCCATCATGCAGATGACCAGAATAGACAATGAATGTATGGACCATTTAGAAGCTAACGAAACTATAGAACCTGATGAAGACGAACCTGAGCACGTGCATAACAAATAGCATGTGAAGGCTCACTCATAGCATACACTCATATCCACACCCCTGCATTCCCAAAATTTTAACTCTCACTCTCGTACATATCATCCTGCAATCAAAAAGAACAAAAACATCAAAAACACAAAAACACAGTCTCGCTAGAAGTATTTACTCTCAGTTTTACCTCAGGTTTCATCCAGTGACCTCAGTTTCTCTCTTGCATCCCATCATATACTGCATGCATTCGCTGAACATAACAAAACCACAGACTCTATCATATCACGCGTAATACCGTTGAAGATGAGGAATCTAAAATGTGGTCAAAGTTGGTGCTAAGCTAAGCAAACTACAGCCAGACCCAGGCGCAAGTGAAAACATTGACCCAAGGGCAGCTAACTGGGTAAAGGGAAACCTGTCTTGTAAAAAGAGGGACACCAAACTACTAATAGAGTAATAAAACTAAGAGACGTGCAAAGTGTGAGGCGAGTGCGATGTGATTGACGATATGCAGACACAAGTGTGAAAGGGGAAGTGTGAGGTGCGCAATGCAAAGGTAGCATGTGCGAGCGAAGGCGAAGTACAAACGAGCAAGAGAGACGAAGGAGAGACAAGATGAGACGAGTGTTAACACCCCAACTAAGGTTGGCTGATGCTAATGTGAAAGTGGACAACTTATGAGTGCAACTTTAGATAGTCACTGGCAACAACAAGTAGAATTCCCTAGTATCTAAGGACACAGAGAAAGTGGGCATAAAATTGACCCAGTACATAAGTAATAGAGAGGTATAATTAAAATAGGTAAGCAGTGCTAGGCGCACAGGTCCAATGTAGTTAGCTGAACAAGCTAAATATAGTATGCAAAGTAGGTAATAGGGTCTCGGCTGCGCGCGTAGTGCTAAGCCAAGTATTAGCGATGGAAAACAATTAGTCAAAATAGGAATATAGTGACAAAATGCACCAATGAACATCTAAGGACATGAGGAGGACAGGCAGACAGATATGTGGACAATGCAAAGGTAGGCACGTGGTGTATGCGAGATGCAAGTGGCTGCATGTGGAATCTGCAAAATAGTGTGTGCTACTGCGCAAGACATATCCTTTGGATTAGAGCTGGAGTTTGTTAGGAAGATGGGAGAATTTGAGGGGAGTGTATGTGGAGATGCGAGTCTCTACAACAGCGGGAGACTTTAAAATCTGACTGTCCCCAGTCAGCGCATGCATGCATTCGCGCAGATGGACTTAGAGAAATGTCGACAAGTAAGGTCACGTGATTGTGGTCCATATTCCGAAAACGAAGTGCCAGTGGTCGGCCTCATGACTTCGGAATTAGTGTGAATGCTGACATAATTTGTGGTTAGTGCATTTAAAAGAGCACTATGTGGCAAATGTTGTTCTTCTCATCTTTCACATTAACCGCAATAATCCCTTGCATTTTTTAACATGTCAAACTTCGATCTTTCTTGTGCTCAAGGAGCTGGCTCCAGAAATTCCTGAGCCTGCGCCCATCATCGAGTCTGATGGCAACCGTGTGTTACACCTCTGGAACGTGCTTCTCCCATTGCTGGTTGTACTGTCGGGCTTGCGTCCCGAGCTTCTTCAAGAACAATTGGAGGATATCAAAGTGTGGCTCCATGAGTGGGCACATTTCAAGGTGAGTGGCATGCATCTTCGTGTTTCTTTGACTTCGCATTGGCTTACTTATCTTAGGCTAATGCACACATCTGCACCCGCAATGCACTGGAAGCTGAGACATTGCTTTCCATAGGCAATGAAGAAAAGGAGCTCCTACGAGAGCTGAACAAGTGGGTAGGAGTGGCAAGGAAGATGGTGAGTTGATAGAAGGCGGCGGCGGAGAAGATTGTGGTGGAGGCACACACGGCTAAGGAGAAAGGGAAGGGGAATGAGAGGGAGGAGAACCCAGACACAGGTAAACCTGTGAGTGCTTTTCTATCTTTTTGTTGCATCTGGCTAACTCTTGATTCACGTTGATAGAAGGCTGGTGGGTGCATGTCCACTGGTTCAAAGATACTTGATTCTCCCTGCAAGAATTGCATGCAGCGCAGGGTCAAGTGCACACAAGGCAAGAACACGTGCTGCGGTCCTTGTGAATGCTCGCACCGAGCATGTAACTTCAGTAAGTGGTCTTTTCTTTTCTCTTAATTGGGATGTCTAATGATTGGGATAGCTACAAAATGCAAGGCATCCGAGGCTGTGGTGGCGCCATGCAAAGTGCCTTGCGTGGCCGAAGAATGTCTTCCAATGGTCAAACCGACCATGGCTGATGATGCCGATGACTCCAGCGAGTCTGAGGTAGAGGTTGAGGAACCGCCGAAGAAGGCGCACCCTGCGCCTAGGCTGGTGAAGCCTTTGCCTGTGTGTGCGGTTGCTGGACCTTCGTGGGTGAGGGCTGACAATTCCGAACTCGCACACCTTCGTATGAATAACAAGCGACTCCAGGCGGAGGTAGACAGGCTGCACACCTCGCATGAAGACTATGATCGGTTCATGAGGAACATCAACTACCAGGCACAGAAGCAGCAACAGGAGCTCATCGCCATGAGCAATTGCCTGTACACGTTTTCGGATGACTGGGGGGTGATGGGGCAGGAAATGGATGAGGTTGTCGCAGGGCAGGAGCATGCTTGGAAGTAGATAGACATACTATAGCCTTTTCTTTTCTCTTCTGTGTGCCATCTTTGTGCACATACTATAATCTGCCTCGCCTCACGTGCTTACATGCTGTACTATACTTTTCCCATCTTCGCATATTGTACAATCTAGTGGTTTCGCGTTGCACCAAATATGAGTCCGTGTAATCTTCGTGTGAAGTCCTAGTCCCCATCCATGTCCAAAGAGTCCATTGGGCCTGGATATAAGGGAAATAGGAATTGTAAGTGAGAGTGACACAGATAGAATCAAAAGAGATATATTTTAGTGGTGTAGGCATGATCACACGAGCTTCGCGCTCAACTTGTCTTCTTCATTGGGCTGTCTGGGTCTATTCCTGCTTGGGGCAATTAGGATGATCAAGTAAGGTCTATATAAAAAGGGGCGCTGTGCGGCTTCGCGCATTCAAAATAGAAAGTCTATGTGGATGGTTATGCGCGCGTGAGTCAAATAGGAGAACTTATCTGTATATACTGTTACAGTTATTATGTGTGATGTGCGCAATATGATACAGTCTGTGTTTATGTTATGTTTAGTGAATGTGCAGGATATATGATGCGATGCAAGAGGGAAACTGAGGTTGCCAGACAAAACCCGGGGTAAAACTGAGAGTAAATACTTCTAGCAAGACTGTGTTTTTGTGTTTTCTTTATTTTTGTAGTGTTTTTTGTTCTTTTTTGATTGCAGAATGATATGTACTGGAGCGAGAGTCAGAATTTGGGAATGCGGGGGTGCGGATATGCGAGTATGCGATGAGCGAAGCTTCCATGCACTATTCATCTTGCATGCGCTCGGGTTTGTCTTCATCGGTTCTATGGTTTTGTTAGCCTCTAAATGATCTATACTTTTGTTGTCTATTCCAGTCATCTGGGTGATGGATACGCGATCTTCACTGCATGGATAATATGGTATCATGCAAAACACGGTGAAGCAAAGCTTCGATATTGCACCGTCTAGCTCGGCGAGCATATAAGGACCTCCTTTCATGCGCCACACAACCATCATTGGTCCGAGATAATGCAGCTTGGTCTTCTTGCTCAGCTCATACTCAACTTTTGAGTTGCGGACGAGAGCTACCATGCCAGTTCAAAGTCATAAGACTTGATAGATGCAGTGAAAGTGTTTCTCAAAGTCACAAACAGACTTGAATCACACTTTAACTACCTGATCTTTAATCACATCTAGATCGGCTTCGCGCTTCTGCAATTGGCACGTGCACCATGCTATAAGGTCAGCAGTGGTAAATGTGCCTTGGCTTGGCAAAGGAACAAGAAACATTGCTTCAGCTAAATCAAACAGAAAAATAGGCTCAACACCCTGAACCATAAAATAAGGCGATAGGCCCGTCGCATGATGAATAGTGATGCGCTCGGCCCAGAAAACAGAATGAATGACTTGATACCATTGTGAGTCATCACCATCGCAACTTTTGATGATGGCCTCCCAGACATCTCAGTGTTGTCTTTTGACTATACTGTTTGCCTGAGAGTTGTAGGGCAAGATGTGAATCAGGTGAATCCTGTACTTTTGCGCAAGCTCATCTACTGCGAGTCTGTATGTGGGTCCATTATTGGTCACAATCTCGGTGATCGGACCCCATCTGCAAAGAAGTTCTTTGAAAATGAAAGCAGTTAGTGTCTTCGTGTTCTCTTTGTGCAACATGCACCATTTGGGATACGTTGTGAGTGCACAGCGCGCTTGCACGAGATACTTCAATCTGCCTGCTCTGGGCATCTTCATAGTGTCTACGTGCGCTTTGCGGAATAAACCTCCTGGTATCGGAACTGTTGGTGGAATATGAAGCTTTTGCATTTGGCAAACCTGACAGTCATGGCACGTTCGCATTTTAACGATGGTCGTGGTGTTGGGCTTGGAACCACATATTTTCATACTCACATCAACACCTGAAACATATGTGCACATGTCCGACGCACTTCCGCACATGTCTGAGCCACTCCGCATTGGACCTTTGGACATTGCATTGGCCAATTGCACTTCGCACGGCATTTGTCCATCCCGTGTCCTGTCCTTCCGAACTAGCCTCACTAGGTGCGTAAATATTCCCGTGCATGTTTCCTGACATTTGGACCGCGTTATTACATATCCGCAGCACCTCATGTCTTATTACATAGGACATTGGACCCGAAATATATCGCTACTACCTTCGCCTATAGTATTCCAGATTTCTATGTACTTACTTAAATACTCTGTAGTGACCTGTAGCAATTATCATCCAGTAGTCAGGAGCTGTTTCCCGACTCTGCGTATCACCCAGAATATTCTCGTAGTTCTTAGTTGCATTGCGAAATACTACCATTCATTCACTGTCATACTCTGTCACTCGTTATACTTGCGCATACCGCTCGCAATCCAACACTCGTTGTAAAGTTTCTGACCTATTATCGTGAAGTCCGAAAGTCCGAAATCTCGGACATCGCACTTTGGCTTCGGACATCGGATAAGTACCCTCAGACATCATCGGATTACCTTCGGAGATTGTTTCGCAGCTTCAGATATTTTGTTATTTGCATTACTGATGCATTTTACTACTAATACCAATTAGCAATCCCTTTAGGATCGAATGCACTTGCTGTGCAAGTATAGCAGACTAGGTCGTGCAAATATCTACCTAAATATTTGTTGACTAGGTAGTACAATTTCTGCTGAGCCCAGCAGAGATTTACTCTTTACAACGTGGTGAATAGGTCCTTGTCGTTGGCTGTGGATGAAACAAGTACTCGGATGTGATACCGTGTATGAAGGCAAATATGGAGCACAGAGCAAAATAAAGTAAGAAGGGTAGGTAGGCCAGATGACTCTAAACCATTGTCTCTGATGTATACAAATTCCTTTACCTCACTGCAGATGATTTGTTCTCCCTGCCTTCCTGTTTAATGCTCCTAAGAACTCCTGATGAACTGCCAGGGTGGGTTCAGCTCCCATTGTCTTCGAGTAAGAGAGTGGTAAGTGGTGACCTGCACTGCCACTTATTGAGATGTGTCTTTGAGGAGTGTTTCTTACTAAAATTGGGTCATCAACTGTTATTTCGAGTTTGGGGGGAAACATCACTGAAGGTTGATCGCAGACGGCCTGTGCTATTGACGAAATGGATGAGTGGTGCACTTGCTTTGGGGTTGGAGAGTAGGTAGGGTATAGAGGATGCACAGCATCGAAGGGTAGAGGTTAGAACATGGCAAGCCCTTGCATATTGGGGATAGATGAGCAGGTAATGCAGAACTGTTTCTGCAGTGTTTTCACAGTGCAGGCAGTTGGGGGAGGGGCTTTTGCTGATGTGGTGGTGGTGTTGGTTGAAGGAAATGTGCTTGGTGCAGAGCCACATGAGCATGCTAATATGATGTTTTGGTAGATGACTAGCAAGAGAGATGAGCCAGAAGCTTGCCCAGCATTCAGAGGACTCACATTTTTGCACTTGTTTTAGTGCAGAGATGCTGCAAGGGAGTACTTCTTTATGAAGGTAGGGCAGGAGTTGTCTGCTGGGGCTGCACTCAATTTGGCTGCGTTCTTAGCCTCCTGGTCTGCTAGTTCATTACCCTCCACACCATCATGCCCTGATATCCATCTAACCGTAACTTCAAAGTGATGACCGCGGTTTTCTTCCTTTAAGCTTGTTATCAGTCTGTGAAAGTGATCTATTAAATAGTGGCCTGATTTAGTTGAGAAAATATCACCAGATTTGATTGTGGCTTGATTGTCAACAAAGATAGAGACGGGGTACTTAATATCATCCCCCATAGAAAGTAGTTGTGCTGCTAGAGTGAGACCAACCACTTCAGCTTTGTATACTGTGTGATTGTCCATAGATTCCAAGTGATAATGTAGAATTTTTGGTTGCTGTTGACTGTTGCGCATTAGGACTGCTGCTGCACCCACTTTACTGTCTATGCTCAAACCATCAGTGTAAATCTTGATCTCATCTGTGTTGTCATCATGGTCTTGGATAGCAAGGTCACGAGATTCAGCAATGGTGGTACAGTATGGGGTTCGGAAACTGGGGGGGCATCTATCATGTGTAATGGTCTCCACGGTGGTCACATTGAGATTGGTGGCATGGTATAGATGGTGGAGGAAGGATCTGTGGCATCTAACATATCGCTTGGCCACTCTTTGCACTGGCATGTATAGGGGATGTGATAGGGGGTGCACTGCTAACCAAATGGCTGCTTGGTAGTATAGGTTCTGGAGTCTGTGTTTGACAGGAAGTAGTTTGGTGTGCACTTCCAGAGTGTCAGTCACTGTTGAACACATGGCCCCCATGATACTTAATGCGGCAATGTGTTGAACTCTAGCTAGGCGCCTTACTACACCTATAGAACCTCTTTGTGGCATGTCACTATCCCCTATGAATAAGGGACAGAACCATAGGTCTACTGCATAGAGCATCTTGGGTAGGGCTACTGCTGAATATAATTGATGCATAAGTGAGAGTGGCATTCCCAAAGAGCTAGAAGATAAATGGTGTAGCTGAAATACATAGGCTGTTCCTTTCACTAGAGCATAGGTGATGTGGGCTTTCTAATGTAGTGTCTTGTCCAGAATGACCCCTAGAAAGCAGTGGGTAGCAGTTGGGGTGATCACTGTGCCTCTTGTGATGAGAGGTGGGTGTTCCTTGGTCAGATTCAGTGAGAAGTCAACTAATGCAAACTTTGAATTTCAAATTTGGAATTTTGAGTTCTCGCCCAGGTGTAGCTGCCATCCAGTCGTTCCAACATCTGCTGAAGAATGGAGTGAGTCTCATGAAAGGTTTTCCATATTGCGATAAATGCTGTGTCGTCAACAAAAGCAAGTGTCTGTTCCTCTTTACCCCTCCCTTTTGCTATGTCTACGAGGTCTGAGTCATAGATGATGTACAGAATCATAGGAAGTAGATCACCCTGGCCTATACCGTTTCGGATCGCCAACCACTCAGAGAGGTGGCTGTCAAATTTGAGCTGAGTGCGACGCCCTGTTAATAACTGTTCAGTGAAACCCAATAGGGAGTCTGGTAGTCTCTGTTGTCTCATGTTAAATAGCAGGTGGTCAGTTACAGCATTTGGAAATGCATCCTCAATGTCCCAGAAGAGTGCTGATACTACCTTGCCCTGCCTCCATGCATCTTTGATGGTTGCTTCAAGTAGGTGTAACAAATCTGTAGTGGATCTGCCAGGTCAGCCGCTGAAGTGAGTTTCTGGTAGGAGGTTATGGTGCTCAAGTAGGTATGTCATCTGATCAGCAATAATGACTGTGAGGAGTTTGCATATTGTGTTAAGGAGTGCAATTGGCCAATAAGCTTTTGTGACTGTGTAATCTGGTTTGCCGGGCTTGCGCAGCACCACTGTGGTAAAATCTCACCATGGGGGGTAGTAAGTCCAAAGGGTGAACACTGCATTAAAAAGATGAAGTAAGTATGGATTGAGCAGCTCCATACACCGAATAAAAATGATATTGCAAATTCCATCAGGACCGGGGGCCTTGTAAGGGCTCAGCTTGGCGATGCTTCTTAAAAGTTGGGTATCATTGATAGGTGCTGGTGTTGGAACTGGGTCAGGGAATATGACATCTGTTGGAACTGATGAGGTGGCCAGTGGTGGTGGGAAGAAGGTGCATACTAAGGCTGCACTTTTTTCTTCATTGGTGTTGGCAAATGATCTGTCAGATCAGCATAGAGTTGGAATTCTACTAGTAGAGGGTCCGCCTTCACCAGAGGCCACTGTAAGGTAATTGTTAGTGATCCAGATATCATTACCTTTGATTTCCTTGAGCCAACTGATCCAGTGCTCCTTCTTGGTCTGTTTGATAGATTCAGCATATTGTTTGTGCCTTACACAGAATTCCTCATGGACAGGATGGTCAGCATTGCCTCACAGCTTGTAAGCACAGTGACTTAGTTTCACTACCTCACGCTGTAAGTTGGTGAGGTCCCTGGTCCACCATCGCTTGGAATAGGGGTTTGGCTTTGACGTGGGAACAGTCTCATCCTATGGTAGTCTTCATTGGTACAGGTCATGATTTCACTATGAAGTTGCACACTATTCTACATTTGTTGACCAGTGCTAAAGGTGCTTTCCACAAGAATGTCTTAAATAAAGTTATAATGCAAAGCAAAGTTAAGACCAAACAACAATGCTCAAAATGATTGCCACCGGTATGCTACCAACCCCTCGTTGGCTGCAATGCGGGAACATCATCACATTGTCGCGCACTGCTGATTTTACTCTGAATTTGCTGGCATTTATGGCTATGTATCTACAAATCAAAATTTTAACAGTATAAATGATCATATTTTGCAGGAGCAAAATTATATACTTCTACAGTTTGCACAGCTACAATATCAAGGTCTCATGAATTCACTGATGATGTGTTGCAAGGATTCATAGATACTGTTGGATTTCATTCCTAGTGGTATGATTTGACATACATATATTGTTGTACTCAACATGGAAATCCCGCAATCAGATCTTGCTCAACAAACTTGTCGACCATTTAGACAGACAGGTGAGTCATTGTCATACAATACTCCTGCAGTATTCAAAGATACGGCTAATATTGAGTACAAAAGTCTACTTTTGTAATGGTGTCCTTAAATCGCAATGACCAAAGGCCATCGCTTGTACTAAGAAAGGTAGCATGAAAGAAGAAAAAAGATGTATGGGCGAGGTCGAATGAAGGATATTCTAGGAAGGGGCATCAGAATTGTGTCAGCTCATGCTGTATTGTTAGGTCCGGCCTGTGCTGAGTCGTAATGAACGTCGTAGGGAAGGCCTGGGGGGAGCCCCAGTACGATGAGTAGTTGGGGCACTCAAAGGAGCTACAGGAAGGAGCGGAGAGTCCAATGGGGTTTCTTCTTTACTACTGTCAAGTTTCATAATGAATCCGACAAGCATTTGAAAGATATGGTCATGAACGATGATTTCTTCGGCATTTGACGCCATGTGATTAATTCAAGTGCGCCATTCGTCAACGATAGGTTTGAAGTCTGCAAAGTAGTCGGATACCCTATCAATCAGGATATCACCTTCAGACATAGCTCCCTTCTTGCCAAAAATGTGGCAAGCAAACTGCTTGTACTGCCCAAATTCTCATAGGCATTGGCCCACGGCATATTTATATGGTCAAAACAGAAATAGGTTTCAAACTTTGGAAAAAATATCTTTTCCTGGGCTGGTACATCATTTAGAGGCATCTTCCAGGAATCATATGAACCAAGAATTAAGAAAAACAGTGGTTGGAATATGGAGATATGGTCGAAATACTGACTTTTTTGCCCCTCCACCAAACCGCAATATTGGCGACCTCTATACACCCTGGGACCATCTCCAATCGATTTGTACGACTGAAAAACAGTAGGAACACCATTTTCAGCATCAGTCTTGAGTCAGATTCGAGTGTGGTGCGATATAGGGGGTAGGAGGGGGGAGGAGGACATTCCATATCTCGACAACCTGATTTTTCCTGACATATTGGGCTTTACCATCGTGTTTAGGGACATTGAGAGCCCCCTGGAAAAATGCTTTTGGAGGGCATGCAAGTCATGGGAAGGCTAGAAAAATTGATCTTTGAGGGGGGTATGTGACAAATTCGCACATGTCACTTTGTATGGTCTCAAATCACTCTGGTATCATTCTCAATCGATTTATATCATTGTAAAACAGTAGGGACACCCTTCTACATACCAGTATTTACATAATAGGAAGATATATGAGTTAGGGGGGGGAGGAGGACCTTCTGTGTCTCAATGACCTGATTTTTTCTGACAATTTGGGCTTGACCATCTTGTTCGCAGGCATAAAGAGCCCCCAGTAAAAATAGTGTTGGAGCCATGGCAAGTCATGGGAAGGCCAGAAAAATCAATCTTTGAGGGGGGGTATGAGGTCAACTTACACATTACATTTCATATTGGCCAAAAACACTTCGAACCCATCTTCAATCTATTTGTATGATCCAAAGACACTATTTAAATCCTTTTTACATCAGTATATACATAAAATCATGCTTCATTGTTGAGTAGGTAGGGGGAGGGGGTAGCATGACTCTGAAACATGATTTATTCAGACAAAATCAGCATTTCCATCGCATTCAGAGCGTCAAATAACCTTAGGATCAAGTTCCATTTGAAGCCAGGCAAGTTATATGAAGGCTGAAAAAATCAACCTTTGGGTGAGGCAACAGGACAGGGGTGACCCTGCTTACATAAGCAAATGCGGACAGGTGGGCACACTTGAAGCAAGACACCACATATCAGAGGCCTGTTGCTCATAAATGTACATATATTGATTGTGGTTGTATTGAGCTTGAGATTTAGACATTGAAGTCATCAAAAGGCTGAGACAGTCGACCTTTGATTGAGCACCTCAGCATGGCAACCTTACACTCACTCTTCACTCATAGCTT